GGAGGGAGACAGAGGTGACCAGGAGGAGAAGAGGGCGAGTCAAAATGGGAGAGAGCGATCTAGTCAGTAATCAATTCTCTATGTGCTCTCACAGTCTGGAACACCCAGAAATATTCACAAAGTTACATAGAGAAGAGAAGAGGGAGGAGGGAGATAGAGGTGACTAGCTGGTGTGCTGCAATTCATGGGGTTGCAAAGAGTCGGACATGACTGAGCGACTGAACTGAACTGAACTGAGGAGGAGAAGAGGGGGCAGCCAAAAGGAAAGAGACCAATCTAGCTAATAATCAGTTCCCTATGTGTTCTCCACAGCCTGGAACACCCAGAGAGATTCACAGAGTTAAGTAGAGAAGAGAAGAGGGAGGGAGGCGATAGAGGTGACCTGGGAGAGAAAAGGGAGAGTCAAAAGGGGAGAGAACAATCAAGCCAGTAATCACACCCCTAAGTGAAAATGGATACTGAAGACTGGATTCTTAAAGGTACAAAATTGATAACAAATACCAAAGATCAAAGATTAAAAATCTAGAGTAGAGGTTAGACTCTCAACAATACAATATTAAAAATAAAAAACAAAATCAATCATAAAAATTATTAAATATATATATATGAAATTTGCTTTAAAAATAGGGTCTGTTTTTTGCAAGGTAATAGTAGATTATAAAAATGAAAATTAAAGGAGTAATAAAGAACTTAAATTAAAAAAAAATTAAAAAGTGATAATAGTAAAAATATATCTAGGAATTTCTCTGGAGCTGTTGTGGGCAGTGTGGGGCCAGTTCAGTTTCATATAGTTCCTTGTTCCAGCTTGTACTTGTTCTCAAGGTCTATAGGCCCCCTCCAATGCTTAATCAGTGTTAACAACAGGGTTTTAATCTGTTGCACCTGTCACTTCCAGAGTGGTTCCCTCTTCTTTGTTTATGTTGGCTTCCTCTGTTTGCAAGTCTCTTCAGTGTCGAATTTCCACCCTGACACAAGGGGGCAAAGGTGGTCTCTTATTTAGGCTCACTTGTTCAGTTGTGTTGTGGGGAGGGAGGAAAACTGCAAACAAATATTGCTGGCGTGTGTGGGGAGTGCTCGCAGTGTATGGACCACACTGGGTTTGCCCCAGCTCACAGCAGCCTGTGCTTTCTGGGTCTACACTGCTCAGGCTGCAGGGTGCCCTGCAGGGCAATGTCCAAAGCAGGCCCTGGGTTTTGTGCACTTTCCAGCTCTAAGACACTTAGGTTCAGGTTCTCAGGTACTCTGCAAGGTCACAGACTCAGTTGGGCATGCAGTTTTGTGCCTTTTCCTGGTCTGAGCAGCTCGGAAGACCAGGTGCTTGGCGAGCGCACTGTCCAAGGTGGACCGTGCATCTTAATCACCTCTCTGGTCCTGGGCGCTTGGCTTCCAAGGTGTGGGGCAAGAGCACTGTCTCAGGTGTGCTGCGTGTCTCCTCTGGGGAGCTGATCTCAGGCTGTGACCATCCTGGCAGATCTCAACTGTCCAGGAAGACATGGTTAGTAACTGGGAGCCTGCTCACAGTTTGGTGGAGGATGCCGGTCTCTGGGGCCAAGATTGGATCAGTTCCTTGCCTTCCAGCTCTGATCGTCACACATCTGCTGCTCTGCCTCTGGTGAGGGTGTGGGCAGTGAGGGGTCTTATGCAGCCAGCTAGCTCTCATTTGGTATTTGCTCAATCCTTCACTCTGTGAGTGGGCCAGGCTACTAGTTGGAACCTTTTGCAGGGAAGTTCTCTCTCTCTCTCTTTTTTTTTTCCTCTCCGGCAATCCCACAGTTTGAGTTGCTATCTCACTTTAGCTCCTTCAGATTGCCCTCAGGGCATTCAGGCCCAGTTCTTACTCTAAGAACCGAGGATGCCACCGGCACTTCCCTGTCCAGTGCCTGCTTGCTGGTGGTAGATGTGAGCGTCTGGGCTACTTCTCTGCTGGCAGGGTTAGGCGCCTATTCTGTGGGTTGTGTGTTTTTTTCCCCCCAGTTATGTTGCCCTCTGAAATTCCAAAACCCCCACAGACCCACCTGTGAGAGGGTTTCCTACTGTTTGGAAATTTCTTCTTCTTCACTATTCCCTCCCCAGGAGAGGTCTCCATCCCTAACTCTTTTGTCTCTCTTTTTGCCTTTTATATTTTGTCTTATCTCCTTTTGAAGAGAATGGGCTGCCTTTCTGGGTGACTGATGACCTCTGTCAGCATTCAGAAGTTGTTTTGTGGAAGTTGCTCAGCATTCAAATGATCTTTTGATGAATTTGGGGGGGGGAGAAAGTGGTCTCCCCTCCCTATTCCGCTGCCATCTTGAGACCGCCCCCCACCCATAAGTTCTGTTCTTGATGTCTCTTAATTTCTGTTCTCTACTTTCATCTCTTTATCTTGCTGTTTTGCATTCTGGGTAATTCCCTTGGATCTATGTTAAGTTCTCGAACTCTTCCTTCAGCCGTATTTAACTATTGTTTAAGCCATCCACTAATTTTTCAACTTCATTTCATTTATTTTTCATTTGTACTAGTTCCCTTTGATTCTATTGCAAATGTGCAGATTTCTTTTCCTTAATCTCGTATTGCTTTCATTATATTTTTCCCCTTCTTTAAGTGCTTTAGTTATTTTTAAAATACTCATTTTATAGTTTCTTTCACATTGTCATACTATTTGCAACTCTTGGGAATGCCAGTTTTTCTGTTCAACTAATCTATTTTCCATCATGGTTATTTATTTCTTTGATAGTTTATAATTTATTAAATTTCACAAAATTATTTCAGTGGGGAGAAAAGGATATTTGTTTTATGTGCCCTGGATTGAGAATATTTCCCATCAGAGAAATTCTGCCTTTATTTCTGGCTGCGTTCCAGGGTCTTAATAGTAATAGACCATGTTCTATTTATGATTTTTGTTTTCCATTATGAATTCAATTTCTTAAATAGATATAGGTCTAGTCAGTCTTCTGGTTTTTTTCTTATTATGGTAATGTATGCTTTTCAAGGACATTTTCCATTTTATCTATATTTTCAAATATATTGGTATAAATTCATTTATAGTATTCCCTTATTTTTTTTCAACCTCTGTAAGATCTATAAGTGACATGTTCACTTTTACTGATATTATTAATTTGTAGTTTTTTCTTTTTAACTATTTTGCTAGAGGTTCTTTACTATTATTTATTATTAATTTCAAAGAAGTATCTTTTGACTTTGCTCATTTTCTCCATTATTTACTTGTTTTTAAAATTTTATTGAATTCTGCTTTTCAGTATTTTTTTTCTTTCATTTTAATGTGGGTTTAGTTTGTTCTTGCTTGTTAAGGTAGAAACTTAGAAAATTGATTTTAAACCTTTGCTTACTTCATGGGTACTTAAGTGTGTGTGCTAAGTCACTTCAGTCGTGTCTGACTCTATGCAACCCTATGGGCCATACCCTGTCAGGGTTCTCTGTCTTCAGGATTCTCCAGGCAAGAATACTGGAGTGGGTTGCCATGCCCTTCTCCAGGGGATCTTCCCAACCTAGGGACTGAATGTCTCTTACGTCTCCTGCATTGGCAGGCAGGTTCTTTACCACTAGTGCCACCTGGGAAACACCTGTTTTTGCTACATTCCACAATGTTATATATATTTTAATTTTTATTCAGTTCAAAATATTAATTTCCTTTTCATTTCTTCTTTGCTCCATGAGTCATTTAAAAGTATAATTGCTCATTTTAAAGGTATTTGGGAAATTTTCTTATTTTATTGTTATGAACTTTTAGTTTAATTCTATTATAATCAGAGAATATGACATCTCATATTCCAATCTGTTGAAATGTACTGAAACTTTTTATATGAACAAGTATATGGTCTATCTTGGTGGATGGCATATGTGCATAGAAAAAATGTATATCATGAAATTTGGGGATGCAATATTCTATAAATGTCAGTTAGGTCTTGTTAATAATGTTTTTTGGGACTTCTCTAATAGATCCTTTTTGTCTAAATTTTTTATTAATAATGGGAGAAGAGTGTTAAAATTTTTGACTATGGTCATAGATTTGTCTCTTTATCTTTCTGCTTTGTTTCATGAATTTTGATCCTGATCATTTGATTCATCATATTTCATCCTGATGATGGACAAATTGCCCTTTTATCATTGTGTTAAGTCTCTTATAATGCATTTTGTCTTGAAGTCCACTTTGTCTCATATTCATGTCATCTTTCTGATGCTTACTCTTTCTGTGGTATATATTTTTCTATATCAGTATTCAATTAATTTCTCAGCTTAGAATTTCTATATAATATAAGTAGTATGAAACTGGATATTTGTATCTCACACATTCAGGTGCAGGCTTGGAGCTTACAAATCTCATAGGTAAAATCTTCTCCAAATGCTAAAAAACTAGAGTTCCTCTTACCATTTCCCTGGACAAGTAGTAGGCTTTTTCTAGAATTACTTTATAGAAGTGGGCAGAGCCTTACTTTTTTGCTCCAGCGACCTGTTCTTGTATAGAAACTAGAACCTCAGACCCTACATCTTATTCCCCAGGTACTAAATTTGTGACTGAAAACAGCTTGGGTTTTCTGGTCAGCTCATAATTATGATTATATCTACTATTTTGACTCATCTGTTTGTTTCTGGAGCCAGGAATTTTTTCTTGTTTTCTTTTGAGATTCACTATTTTTTTTTTAAAAAGGTCATTATTTCTTTCTCAAATTACTAATTGTTTGCATAGAATTAGGGAAAGGCATGTAGTTCACGTGCATCTGTCTTTTTCTTCTAGATGTCTCTCCTTACACTCTCTGTATTTTCTCCTTCTTTGAAGAAGGGAAAAAATTGAAATAATCTTCTATCTTGGAATGGAAGTAAGGAAGCGTGAACATTGTTGAATTAAAATTTATGAAGGATGGCTTAGAACTCCATTTCTCTTTGATTCAGGCCCTGCAGTCTTCCCAGGCCCCATCGTCCTGCACCCACCCCTCCTGACTCTTCTTCCACACACTTTCCCATGTACTGAGAGTGGGCTCTCACAATTGCTCCTTCCACCATAGATTATTCTCGTGGCTTTGGTGGCCGTTATGGCATAGAGAAGGATAAACGGGACAAGGCAGCTCTCGGATATGACTACAAGGGAGAGACAGAGAAACATGAATCCCAGAAAGGTGAGTTGGGGCTGGAGAGGAGGGAGGCCATAGGATATGTGGAGCCCTCCTTCTATACGTCCTGAAAGTTGACACAGAGGACCCAGAATACGAGGTATGCAGGAAGTGGCAGGGTGAAGAGTATGTGTTACATGTATGGTGGTAGCTTGGGGGAAGACCCACAGGGATGGAGAGGAGAACAGCAAGCTTAGGAGCAGGACACAGGAAGGTAACCAAAGAGAAGGGGTCATTGAGGAATGGATGAAGACACATGGGTTGGGTGATGGCAAGAGTGATTTGGCTGTGAGTCTTAGAGGCCTCTCTACTTCACAGAGAGAGCCTTCTTCCCTGGGACACATAGGGGATGGCTGGGGGAGGGGGCTCACTTTAATTTTTTTTCTATTTTTTAAAATTTAAATTAAAAAATTTTTTTACAATATTATGCTGGTTTCTGCCATACAACAATGCAAATCAGCCATAATTATCCATACATCCCCTCCCTCCCCTCCCCTCATCCCATCCCTCCAGGTTATTACAGAGTGCCTGGGCTCCCTATGCTACACAGCAACTTCTCACTTTAATTTTTCCTGTTTGTTCCTTTATATTTTCCCCTTTTCTGCCACTTCTCTCTTTTTTGTTTCTCTCTTCCCATGTCTCACATCTCCATTCTCTCCCAGGTGTTTTTTTCCCCCATCCTTTTTCATCTTTTCCCACCCTCTCTCTCTCCCCTGACTTTCACACTTCCTCATCGCTCTCTCTGTTTTCCTCATTCCTGTCTTCTGGTCCTCCTTCCCACTGCTCCTACTCCCTCTTCCCATACATTTCTAGCATTTAACTCCTCTTGTGACTCTCAGACCTTTCCACCCTGCAGATTATGCCAAGGGCTTTGGCGGGCAGTATGGCATCCAAAAGGACCGTGTGGATAAGGTAAAGCACCAGAACACCAGTGTCTTGGGAAGAGTTCCCTGAAGTATGTGGAGAAGAGTGAGAGGCAAAGTGGGTAAAAGGATGAGCAAAGCTAGGTGTGCTGCACTGTCCTCCTGCTCTTCCCATTGACTGCCCTCAGCATCTAATGGGTATGTCTTCCGAAGCCTGAGCTTTATCAAGGAAGGTGAGGAGGCAGAGAGAGACAGGGATACAGACAAACTCCAGGGAAAAGTGTTTAAAATTTCATTGATTGCTTGGTATTGATTAACTCAGTCAATAATCTAGCCCCACTCCATTCAGTCTTTCCCTCCACCTCTTCAAGTACTGCATGTAGTTCATACACTCCTGTATTCCAGGCAACTGGACTTAAAAGATGTGAGATTCCAGGAACACTGAGCTTTTTTAAAGGGAGAGCTAGTCCTACAAGCCTAGAACTTCTTTACCCATCTCTCTGATGCAAAACAACAATATTTGAATACCCTGTCTAACTACTACTGAGCATCAAAAATTTAGGGAGACCTCCTTTAGTGGCCCCAATCCCTGATACTGACTTCTGGGTCATTACCACTCCCTTCCCTCTCCCCACCACTACACATACTATTCTTCTACCTGCAGAGTGCTGTTGGCTTCAATGAAATGGAGGCCCCAACCACAGCTTACAAGAAGACGACACCCATAGAGGCTGGTGAGTTTTAATTCCCTCTCTCTGTGCTCTCAATCTCCTCTGCCTTCTCATTCTTTTTTTCTTCCTGGACTACCTACTCCAAGCATTTAACTACCTAGGTTAGCTGAGGTAGACTTGACCCCTATCCTCATATTCCCAGATTCTCTCTCCTAGAAAAAATTAGGTTAGGTGGATATCTGAGTGACACTGGGGAAGAAACTGTATGTAGAGAACACGGGGTGGGGGAGCCGTTTGGGAAGAACACAAAGGGAAAGGAGCTTCGGATGGCAACAGTGGGTAGATGGTGGCCTGAGGGCATATAGAGTTAAGAAATGTGGACAAGGAAGGATGCAGGTTAGGGGACCAAGCCTTAGAAGGAGTAAGAGTCTGAGATCATGTGGTCTGGCTATGTGAAAATCCAAGCTTCAGGGCTACCTTATCCTCCTCTAAGCCCCTTGGTCCTTCATTAATACCTCTTTATCTCCCTTTCCATGAGTTCCTTCTCGATTTTCTCTTCTTTCTGAACATTTAACTGACTCCTCTTCTTTCCAGTGCTACTCTTCTACCTCCAACCCAAGACAACCCTAATTTTTCTTGACTGTGTCTGTAGCTTCTAGTGGTGCCCGTGGGCTGAAGGCAAAATTTGAGTCCATGGCAGAGGAGAAGAGGAAGCAGGAGGAAGAGGAGAAGGCACAACAGATGGCCAGACAGCAACAGGAGAGAAAGGCCTTGGTAAAGATGAGCCATGAGGCTCAACAACCAGTGGCCACTAGGGAAGAGCCGGCGGTGCCAGCCCCATTGCCTAAGAAAATCTCCTCAGAGGTAAGTGCTTGGCCCTCCAGGATCCACATCCAGCATTCTTTGCCCAGACAGGAGCCTAAGGGGTCTGTATCCTTAGTAAAAAGTAAGACCCAGGACTCCCCTGTGTTAGCAAAATCTATAGTTGTTATCCTTCTCTTCGGAAGATTTCAATCTAATTGTGTAATTAAGCTTCATATATACATATAAGAATGCTCAGTGATAAAAACCTCAAGATTTACATAGTTCAACAGAAGATAGGTCACCAGGCAGTGCAGTCAGTTACTGCTGCAAGAACAAGAGGAAGGAGCTGTCATTTCAGGTTGGAGTCCATCTTGAGAAATGATAGATGTGAGTTGGCAGAGACAGGAAGGGGTATTCTAGTACAGGAGAGAAGATAAAGTTTCTTGCTCACTGAAGAGATGCTTCATCCTTCACAGGCCTGGCCTCCAGCAGGGAGTTATCCATCATCAGAGCCTGAGCCTGTGAGAACCAATAGGGAACAACCGGTACCTGCCCTGCCCCCAAGGCAGGATCCTCCAGAGGTAAGCAGACTGCCCCCCAAAGATCTGCACCTTTCCCATCTCCTCATGTCCTAGTAGGTGGACACAGCCCTGCAGGCTGATCATACACCCTGGTTTGCCTGGGGCTATCCTGACCTTAGCACTGGAAGTCTTATATTCTGGGAAATCACCCAGTCCTGGGCAGACTAGGACAGTTAGTCATCCTAGCTGTCATCTTTTCTCCTTTTAGATTTTGCTTCAGTGTTTTCCTGGTCTTCCAAGGAATCTAACTCATTTGCCATTTATTTCTCCTTATACCTTTTACATTCCCCTTCTATTAATATCACCTGTTGGTAGGTGTTTTGAGTGGATGGATATGGGAGGAGGTTGAAGAAGGAAGAGGGGTGAGAGACTGTGTTCCCTAGGAGAGGCTGTTAGAAGGAGCCAGAAATGGACCTGGAAGTGGAAGCATGTGGATAGAAGGGTCTTAGCAGTCCTCCATTGGGAGGTTTTGGAGAGGCGGCTCCTGGTGAACAGAAGTCACCTTGCTTCATATTGTCTCTTCTCAGGACAATGAGGAGGCCCCAGCTCTGCCCCCCAGGACTCCAGAAGTCTTCCAGCTGCAGGAAGAGCCAGTGTATGAAGCAGCACCTGAGCCCGAGCCTGAGCCTGAACCTGAGCCTGAGAATGACTACGAGGATGTTGAGGAGATAGACAGACATGAGCAGGATGAGGAAGCAGAGGCGGACTATGAGGATGTGCTTGAGCCTGAGGATCCCTCTTTTTCCTCCACTTTGGCTGGTGAGTGGTGGGGCAGAAGAATTCCCCCATTACATGGAAGGACCGGTCTGTTTTCCTTCTCCATGTTGGTAAGACCATGTTCATATTTCTCACTGTGCAGGATCATCAGGCCACCCAGCTGGGGCTGGAGCTGGGATCTCAGCTGTAGCCCTGTATGATTACCAAGGAGGTAGGTTGGGAGTGGTCTGAGGGGTCTGATGTCTGGAGCCCCTTGATATATGAGAGGTGGGTGGATTGTGTGGGTCAGAATAGGGCCCCAGACTTGGCATCAAGGGCAGGCCTCTTTCCCTTCCTGAGGCTTAAAGAGGGGGCACAGGGGTGGAGGGATTCTTGCCTGACGATCCTAATAGTCTGTCAATTTTCTCCCCAGAGGGAAGTGATGAGATTTCCTTTGACCCAGATGATGTCATCACTGACATTGAGATGGTGGACGAGGGATGGTGGCGGGGACGTTGCCATGGCCACTTTGGACTCTTCCCTGCAAATTATGTCAAGCTCCTCCAGTAACTGTTCCTGTCTTCTTTCTGCACTGTAACTTCGCATGTTCCCAGTGGCTCTGCCTCCAGATGCTCTCCATTTCTGCTGCAAGTGTCTGACAGAATGTCATGAGTTGCCTGAAGTTCTAGACAGACTTCCCTCTCCCTCTCCATTAGGGTAGGGAGCAGCGGCAGCACGAAGGGGGTCTCCTTCCCCTTGATGTCTTCTTTATCCTGGATACCCAGGATGATCTCAGGGATGTTTGTCTTGTGGTCCCGCTCCCTTCCTCATGAGTGCCCCCTCTAACCCATACCCCTAACTCTAGTTTCCTTTGCGAGTGCTGAGCTTCCTGGTCTGTCTGCATGGCAAGGTATGTCTATATTTCCTAGTTTTCCTAGGTGTGTTGTTTTCTCAGTTTCCTTCTCTGCAGAGATATCTCTGACTCTTCTCTCTGATCAGTCCTAAATTGGAAATAAAGTGGGACCATGGCTAACCTCTATTCTGAGGTAAATAGTACTTTTACACGGCCCTCAATGACCCTAACTCTCATTACAGGTAGAGGGAATTTTCCTTCCCTCTTTCGCATATTCAGAAAAATCCTTCCAACCACTGCCCATCACTCTGTACCCTGGTGTCAAGGGCCATGCCTTTTCCTTAGACTATACTGATATCCAGTCCAAAAACAGATGGGCCTGGAGAATGGCAGTTAGGTTGGGAAACAGGCCAGGAAGGGTCTACATTAAGCAGTTCAAATTCTGGCTTCTGCATTTGTGAGAGGTCAGCCACCTTCCACCTGGGAGTAATGACTATATTTCTTTAGTGCACGATGATGCCTGAGGCAGAAGCACAAATTAGGGGAAAGGAAGGAGGAAAAGATTTGGCCAAGAACAAGAACAAAAGATTAAAACTAAAAGGGAACAATTGGACTTCCCTGGTAGCTCAGCTGGTAAATAAACTATTGCAATGCAGGAGATCCCGGTTTGATTCCTGGGTCAGGAAGATCCCCTGCAGAAAGGATAGGCTACCCACTCCAGTATTCTTCGACTTCCCTGGTGGGTCAGACGGTAAAGAATCTGCCTGCACTGCGGAGGCCTAGGTTCGATCCTTGGGCTGGGAAGATCCCTTGGAGGAGGGCATGGCAACCCATTCCAGTATTCTTGCCTAGAGAATCCCCATGGACAGAAGAGCCTGGCAGGCTACAGTCCTTGGGGTTGCAAAGAGTCAGACATGATTGAGCAACTAAGCGCAAAAGGGAACAATGAGATGATAAAAGGGTTTGGAGTCAAAGATAGTGGCCTCTACTAAAGAAAGTCTAGGCTTCCCTGTAGCTGGATGAATGAAATCAATGACTGTGTAAGAAGATAGATTGAGTTTCTCTGTGGTACATGAAGTTTCTCTGTGGTACAGGGCTGAGGCTGATAGAAGAAGTGAGGACCTTTGGACAGCCAGTGATAAGCAAAAAACAAGTCATCAAGCAAAGTATGGGGATGAGATCAGGATGCAGTGAGTTTATCTAACCTCAAGCCATTGGGATTGGCAAGATCCAGAATAGGAGACCCTAGGCAAAACAAAATCAAATCAAAATGAAAGTCAGGATTTGGTATAGGGTTGGTAGAAAATGGGGGCTTTTCTGGTGGCTCAGATGGGAAAGAGTCTAAAGTCCATGCTATAACCAATATCTAAACTTGGGTTCAGCTTTCAAAGATGGAGAAGACAGTGGGATCAAGGAAAAGCTAGGATTGGTGGCTGAGACCCACAGTTGCGGCAAGGCTTCATGAAAATCCTTAGAGTTCACTGGTAAGCTGCCCATGTGCTTAGAGCACTGTATCTGTCAGGCTCATTCCTTGGCTTTTCTTCAAGACACACACTCCGTTGTTGCCACAGTGACCTCTGTGCCAGTGAGACACATCTGTCTCTACACCTCACTTGCAGGAGTCACCCAGTTAGACTTTCAGAGTACAAAACAGCCTTTATATTTGCCTGTAGAGATATTGGGGTTTCCAGGGTATAGAGGTAAGTCATACTAGATATATACAATCTCATTCTTTGCTTCAGTTTAATTAGACATCACACATAGATCATACTTTGGCAGCGATTTTCTTCTTACATCCAAATTCCACCTTGATTTTCACTTTTTCCTTCATTATAAGACAAAAGCTTCATTTCCAGGTCCTTAAGGCAATAATCCTTTCTGCGTGGGTTCCACAAACCTTACCCTCCACATACAGCGATCCCTACTTTGGACTGGATTTCTTGGTGTGGTACTCTTCAAGGGCTCTGCCCACAGACATCTCCCCCATCCAAGTTCTTATTCTTGGGTCCACAGTCCCCTTTCACTCTCCTTAGCTGATTCTTAAGCTGAAGCCATTTCTAGCTATCTTGCTTTTTTCAGATAATGCTTGCTGTTCATGCTGCTCACTGTAGCTTCATCCCATTAATCACTTCACTGTCTCTGTAAAAGGCTTTCCTTTTTCTCCAACTGCCCTCTCACCATAAAATGTGCGTTTTTGTATAGGCCAGTGGATACCTGTGTTACTCTTATTTCCTGCTACATATAAAATTTGATGCCTTATAAAGTGTGTTTGATGATGTTGATCCACTCAATGTTGAACTTTAGATAGAAACTGGGAAAGTAAAGTGTACCTAGAATGGTGGGGCCCACAAAGAGGTGCAGTCACTCTTCTGACTGCCCTCCTGAACCCCAGGCTGCCCAGACTGTCAAGGAAGAGCCCTCTGCTCTCTTTCTCTATACTTCTCATCTGGCTCACAGTAGCCCCAGATTTTCACCTCCCTTAGTCTACAACTCCCCTTGCTTTCTTTTTCTAATAAAATAAAACCCCAAAATGGATTTTCAGAGCTTTCTTTCTTCATATAGGAAGGACTAGATTCCAAAAATGTGGAACTGATCCCTGGAGAACTCTTCCTTTTTTTCCCCACTTTATCGTTTAGTTGTTGCAATTACTTACTTTCATTGAATAAAACCTTAGCTCACACTCTAGTTATATTTTTTAGAAAATGGCATGTTATATACAAATGTGGAATATAAACCAAACAATAAGGATTAGGAAAAGTAGAGTTACATTACTGACTAGTATCAAGTGGCACGTTAAAATGAAAGATGAGGGTACTTCTACTCTGGCACTTGCTCTCATGCCTTCATATCGACTAGACTCTTATTGTTGGTGGTTAAATTCTTTGTTCTCTGCTTCTCCACAGTACCCATCCTCCTTTTCCCTCTGTCTTGCTTGCTGACAATTGCTAGGAAAATGGCATCAGTTAAGGTGAGAGGGATATATACACGGGATAAGCAGTTCAACCATCCTGGCTTCAGCTATGCCTGGAGACCTGATAGGATATATTTTTTGCACATGACCCAAGGACATGAAGCCTCATCAAACAAACTTAGCTCCATTTGGTTCCCAACTTAAAATCATCATGTATCTAAAATCTATTTGGTAAACAAAGAGCTACATGAAATCATGACTACTATAGATGGTTATGTGAGGTCAGAATTTGCTGTACTAAAAAGCTTACCTGACTTACTGCTATTGGCGTGTCATTCATTAGGGCAGTGGTTCTCAATCAGGAGTGATTTTCTCCCAGAGGATATTTCCAGAGACATTTTTGGTTGTTAAAGCAGTAGGGGAGCTACCGGTATTATTGAATAGAGGCCAAGGATGTCACTAAACATCCTCTAACACACAGGACAGTCCCTTATGACAAAGAATTATCCAGTGTAAAATGTCAATAGTTCCACAAAACCCTGCTTTGGGGATGCCAGTTTCTCTTGTGTATTTTTATTTAACTTTTGTTCTCATAAGTTTTGACTATTTGTTACCAAAAATCAGAAGTGTCACCCATTTTTCACAGAATGAAGTCATGCCCAGCAAGAGCTAAGAGCAATTAAAGGGAATCACTATGTTCAGATGTCTTCCTTCTCAAGATTCCCCATGGTATACTCAAGTGGTGTCTAGGACCTAGGGACTGGTACCACAGGACCTACAGTGGGCCTGACTTTTCCATACGCGTGGTCTCCCTGGGCTACCCTGTGCCTTCTGGCATGACACGGAAGTTGGGGTTAGTGTCTTGTGATCATTTCACATAGCCCAGGGTGGTGCTGGCCCATATCTGGGCTCTCCCTGATCCAGCCCGAGCATACAATTTTCAGAGGAAAAGAAACTTGAATCTTAAGTCACTATTAAAATGTTCAAAAGCAGTCTGTGATTTTTGTCCTAATTTTCTTCATACATATAGTATCTCCTCTGGATTCCTCTCATTTTTTCAAGGCTGTCCTTCTATATGTTGCCAAGATTCTACACAACCACCTCATTCTGTGACCTTATTTCTGCCTCTTACTGTTCAACCTTAGGTGTCCCTGAGGCTGCTGTGCCTAGCCTAGGTCTCTATTCTGTTGGACTGTTTGAACTGTCTGGGCTTAGAGACAGTGAGGTAATTAAAAGAAGCCCTGGACTTGGCTGTCAAGGCAACTCCAGCTCCAGAAACTTCAGACTGTGCTTTTTACCCTGGGTGCCCTGGGAGGCATCTCAGTCCCTCTTCCTATCTGCCCCATATCGTTGAAGGCACTCATAAACTAAAAAGTTCTCCACAAAAGCACAGGCCTATGCTGGTCATGGAATTTCACTGCTCTCTCATCTCCTAAGGTCTTGGGCTCATCTTCTAAATGGCCTCAAGTTACCTATTTACTCCGCAGATGGATTTATTTTAGAAAAAATAAGTATGGGGAGGGAGGCTATTAGTTATCAGTATAGTGCTATAGCAATTATACAAGCCATGGCTTAGGAAATTTTTCCACCTTATGCTGCTACTCAGGTTTTGAAGGACATTGCATGTTCAAAAACACCTAGATAACATTTGCAATTTGTAGAAGAAAGTTCTCAAAATCACACTCTGTCCAACTTCAGTAACTCTGAATAGGAATCCAAGAACGGTGGCTTCCGAGTCTTTAGTGTAAGGTGTGTCTTCCTCGTGGTCTGGCTCTAAAGGTGGTGACTAAGGTCTCTCGGGCCTGTTCATGGGACTGACGCATGCTGGTCAAAAGAATCGGGTCAGTCTTGTGTTCTACAACATTGAAGGGACAGGATTTCAGGTGCTCAGACATGGAGGCAACTTCATTAAACTCCCAGCTCTTGATTTTGGAGAAGAGGCTGCTGAATTGCCAAATCTGAGGAGAGATAGATGCATGAAAGTAAACCCAGAGTGTGGTACCCACAGGTCGGCTTTATTTAAATAGATTGAAGAGATGCCTTCTGTTCTTCCTGGTCTCAGATTCCAGAAAGTGTTTAGTGACTGCAGCATACATGTGTTAGTCCCCTTCTCCAGAATCCAGTTCCTAGACCCCCTTCCAACTGATAACCTTCCCAGCCAGCACATGTTGTGTGAAAATGACTAATACCAACTAATACTAATCTGCTTATTGCTATACACCCTCACCCCACCCCACCCCCCAGCAAAGTGATTAGTTCTAGAATAGACATATGTTTCAAATCAAGACAACCAGTGCCAATGAGACTCTACTCCAGAACTTTTCTCTGAGATATCAGGAAGTACATTCTTTTTTCCCCTCTGTGCTTAAATTTGGAAGCTATTGTCTCTCAGAGCTGCTAACAGCCCCCATGGACCACGAAGGGAGAACTGTGTCTTAGAGTGGAGTCACTAGTGAGAAAGTAGAGATAAGAATTGATAGTAAAAAGATCATCTGGGGGACATTTTTGAGCAGTTAGATCAAGCTATAACTGAAACTATTACCTTTAGACTTTTTAGTTATGGGCCAATAAATTCCCTTTATAGTTTATCTATAAACTTATGTATAAAGTTTCTTATGTATAAAGAATACATTTATATATGTAAAGAATACCTATATAAAGAATATTCTTATGTATAAAGAATGCATTCCAGTAGTCTTGCCTGGAAAATCCCATGGATGGAGGAGCCTGGCAGGCTATGGTCCACGGGGTCACAAAAAGTCAGACACGACTGAGCGACTTCACTTTCTTTTCTTTTTATATTTATGTATTTTAAGTTGGTTTTATATTGCTTAAAAATTAAAGCATGCTAATTAATAAGAGTCTCACTAGAACAGAATCCTTAGGAGAAATCTAAAAGGCTGGTACTCAAACCCCTGCTGGCCTTTGGCACTTAGGATGGTGCCAAAGTAACTAGTTTTAAAACCTGACTATGAAGATAGGCATAACCTGATATTCTTCAACTTTATCACTTCATCATCAGTGTCTTGTCATTGTTCTTATATATAAAAAAAGTGCCCTGAGATCTTAGAATTATTTTCCTTTTACTTTAAAAAGCCATTTTAATATGAGTATCCTTTAGCTCCAACTAAATTCTCTTTCTTCCTTTCTACAAGGAAATTAGTTTGTCCTGAATGATATTTAAGAGTTGTCAGCAATGACTGAATTGGGAAAATTGTTAGTCAAAAAATAATGAAATTTCTAGTATGTAAATTAAATTATTTGCATTTGATTTTACAGAGGAAGATATTAGGTAGTTCCAGACTATACAGTTCCTGAAGACAGGGTCATAGTCTCATTCATGTTTATTCCTAACACATGGTCAGTTGGCAGTCATTTATTTAACACATGGATGCATGCCTGGATTCATAAAGGAGAGTGTGATAATTACTTTTTGAAGAAGACTGCTCAGGGAATAGTAATAGAAAATATGCAAGATGTTTTAGATATAATCAATAAAAATAGATGTAAACATCTCCTAACTCCCCAAAGCCAGTTTGCATACACCCACATACTGGGAAGAAAGTCAACAGTGAGATTTTGGAATTAATGACCTAAATGGGCATCATACATTTGTGATTCACATTACCAATACATGTACCATAAGAAAGGGTGCTAAAGGCACCTCGGATATGATGAATTGGGAGTTTCACTTCTATTTGATACAAGTTAATAGAACTTATAATACAGTTAAGCAAGCCTAGCTTTATCAGAGAATGAAATGGCAACCCACTCCAGTGTTCTTGCCTGTAGAATCCCAGGGACGAGGGAGCCTGGTGGGCTGCCATCTATGGGGTCGCACAGACTCAGACATGACTGAAGTGACTTAGCAGCAGCAGCAGCTTCATCAGGAAAAGGGAATAAAGCTTTTCTAAGGGGAAAGATTCTTTCATTTATACAATATTTTAAAAATTAAATAAGCATTTGAACCAGGAGAAATCAGTGGACCAAATTATTTTAGAACTTCAAAATGAATTCAACAATGGCAAAAACTAGTTGACATGCGGCTTAGGAGAATCTGCTGGCATATTGTATCAATTAGAGTCTAGGCCAAAAACAGATGGCACACTCATACTGGATAATCTGAAGAGAATTTTAAAAAGGAATGATACACAAATGTGTGAGCAGTGTATAGGAAAACGAGAAGATTTAGTGCAGTACCCAGGCTAGTAACCATCTTGAGTGTTACTACTCTAGGCCTGAATGGGAAGGAGGAGTTTATTAGAATCCAGAATGGATAACTCTGTGGAGAACGCCATCAAATATCGCTATCTTCAGTGGAGAGACAAGGCCAGTGCAAAGTGTCAAGAAGGGGAAAATGCGTGCAGAGAGGAAGCTAGAAGAACACTTGTGTCAGCCTCTCCCACCTGCCCATCTCCCATTAGATATACTCCCGTTAGACTAGCCCGCCTGGAAGCTGGAGGGCAGGGGAGCAGGTTAAGGTAGTCTGCAGAGATTAGCCTCCTGGGGGACAGATCACAATGGAGAATGGATCATGCAATCAAACAGCAGATATTCTGAACACATACACAGAGATACATAGACAGTACTATCTGTATTACTATTTTTATGTTTATGGGTGTGTCTCCTCTTCTAGACTAGCTTCCTTGAGCTCACAGACTGTGTCTCATTCTTAGTAACCTAGTACAATCCCAGTGCCTAGTATACTGCTGATGCATAGAAGGCCCTTAGGAAATAATTGCTGAATGAATGAAGTAAATGACTAAGTGAATTACTTGCCTTTCTGTGAACTCTCCAGGAGGTGCCTCCATGGGAATACCTCTTCTTCTTCCACTGCAGGAGGACCATCCCTCTCTCTTGTAACAAAGTGGCACAGATACTCCTCATCAGCACGGACACCTGGGAGAGCTGGGACAGGCTGATGCTGTCTAGGAACCCAGCAATGTACTGCAGGACTTCCAGGGGCAGGCTGGTTAGAGAATTCTGGTTTTTTCCTTCACGACCTGAGAAATGGTTGTTCTTCCTTCCCTCACTCAGCTCTGAAGCAACCTCCGGCTTGATGGCAAAGGTCTTGAGCTCCTGACTGTATATCACTTTTGCCTTTTGCCCTGGGGGACGGAAATGGTTTTGAATAAAGGTACATCCCAAGTAGGCCAGGGGGCATCGGTGTTGGAACCAGCCGTTGAGACATGACTGAATGTCTGTGTGGACATTCTTGAAATGTAGGGGAAATTCATCCCTCCTGAAGAATTTGTTGCAGGTGAAAGTAAAGGCAGAGCTGCTCTTGTTGTGTCTCCTGGTCACACACTCACTGTGGAGCTCCACATGGAGCCCATTCGCGTTGCTGTTCGGGTTGGCAGTGGTTAGGAGGTCGGCCAGCACCGTCCCAGAAGAAAACTGTTCTGGCTCAAAATTGTACGTCTGTGTAGCGAAATCCATGAATAGCCCGTCAATGCTCCTGGACTCAGAGATGACGTGACCTTTGAGTTCTCTTTCCAAGGCACACAGGAGGGTGGTCTTGATGAGATCTGACTTGGGCAGGTCCTCCACAGTGATCCCTAAATCTGCAGTGTCGACAGCCTTGTGCTCACTTGGCCTACAACTCATGGCATCACCTAGGCGAGCCCGCTTCCCACAGTAGCTCACAGGAACTTTGAAGGTGTAAACAGTCTTCACTTCCTGAGCCTCCAGGTTGCCATAAACAAAGTCTTTCTCTTTGGGTGTACAAGCAGGCATTTGACCAAAGTGAATAAGCATCCTCCCATTGTGCACCAGGTACATATTATAGTCTTTTGCATCCACAGCTGTTTTCAGTCTTTCCAGAACACCATCCTGCCAAGGGGCAAGCCCTGTCTTTTCTATGGCTGCATGAAAGTCCTGCTGCTTCTGGTCTTCCTGTGGTTCTTTTCCTTTGGCAGCTCCCTCCTCTACCATTCTATTGCTGCTGGAAATCTGTTCTTTCTCTGGGCCGTTACTGCTCTTGCTGTCACTGCTGGCTAATGAGCTTGTTAAAGCTGAGGCTGCATGCTCTTTGCTGAATATATTTTCCCACTTGTCAAACTTGGCCAGGTCCATCCCTTCTTTGGTTTTGGCTAACGCCTCTCGTTCTTCTTGACTCAACTCTACCACCTCCCCATTCATGGCTGACAGAGAGTGGCCTGTTAGCAAACTAGCATCCTCCCCACCCACCGCTCCACCCATTTCCTCCCAGGTGGCTTCACCATTCATAGGAGGTTCCTCTTCCGTGGGTTCTCTAGTTTCTGGGAAAAGTTCTACCATTTTCAGAGATCTAAAAAGGACCTTCTGGTCCTGAAGGGCCAGGGCTGTGTCCAAGCATTCCTCATCGGGGATCTCTTTCATGATGTTCTCGTGAAGCGTTGTTTCAGAGTCCACGTTTGGCCAGCGGTTCCACTCCATGGAGCAGCAGACCACGCTGGCAGGACACACTTGCAGGTGCTTGGCCAGCTTGTGGCGGGACAAGAAGAGGGGGCAGCCATATTCGGAGTTGAGGCACGGAACCTGTTCTAAAGGGCAGAGTAGCTCATGCTCAGCCTCTTTGCACATGTGGAAGGTAGCACCACAGGACAGGTGGCAGTTTATCACCGGGCAAGAGACACTGGGCTCCACAGGCATGTGGCAGTGACGGTTGAAGCATCTCTCACAGTGTCTGTGCTGCCCTGGTGGAGGCCTGCGTGTCCTACCCTAGAGACACCAAAGGCAAGGGGAAAGAGAAAACAAGTGACTGCTGGAAGAGAAGCTCTACATGTCTGTGAGTGTTTAATTGACTTATTTCCTGTTTATACACGCTGATTGTAGGAAACTTGGAAGATACAGAAAGTAATAGAGAAGAAAGCTGGAGAAGAAACGGGCAACCCACTCCAGTATTCTTGCCTGGAAAATCCCATGGATAGAGGAGCCTGGTGGGCTACAGTCCATGGGGTCACTAAGAGTTGGACACGACTGAGTGACTGAGAAGGCACAGAGGAGAAAGCAAAAACACTCATAATACCACAACCAGAAATAACAACTATCAATATTCTTTATTTTCCAGTAGTTTATTTTATCTGTGTACTCGATGTGTTGAAAATAGGAAAAAAAAAACCACACATGAAAGTGGGCTACAAACTTGACAATTGCTATTTTTGAGTTGTGGATTATGGAGGATTTATGCACAGTTAATACTCTGAATACACTTTTTCTGCTTTAACTTGCTATTACATTATGTCTAGGCTGTTTTATAAATTTTTCTTTGCAAACTTTCTTCACAGTGGCAGTGTAACATTCCAGAATGAGTGTTCTGTCATACACATGATCAACCACCAGGGGGCATACTGGGAGGACCAAGGTGGGCCTGGTTTTGCTCACATCTTTGTCCTCAGCACCTGTCACAGGACCTGGATCATTGTAAGCACTCAATAATATTTGCTGAATGAAGGAAGTATTAGCCATTTAGCTTACAGCTGGATTCTTTCTTTTTCATATATAAAGTTTTACTAAAAATCTTTGCTCATCAGTCTCTCTCAGGTCTCTGCTTTCCCCCAACTCTGTGTTGGTTTACTCTAGGTTCTGCTCTAGCACCTCTGGTTCAGCAAAAAGCCAATATATATCATTAGACCAAAAGGAAAAATCCACCAGCAGCTTGGGCTACAGGCTAAATGAGGCCACATCTGGGCCTCTGAAACGTGAAGTTCCAGTGAGCACCTGGTACTTACCATAGTTTCCAAATTTCTTCTGGCTTTGTATAATAACTCTAGGGGAAAATATAAAAATACAAATATGAATGATTCATGAGAAAGTTATTTTATCTACTTTAACAGGGGCCAAAATGACTTTAAGTACTCTTCTGTCACCCTGGAAGTAAGTATCATGGCCCCCCATTTTACAGTCAAAAATGCTCTTCTTAGATTCACTTTTACTTTCTCTTTCCTTCAACACACACACACATTTTTTTTTTTTGGCAAGCCGTTTGAAGATAAGTTGCTGATATTATTACACTTTATCTTACTTATTTATCTGTAAGTATTTTAGCAAATATTTCCTAAGAATAAGACATTTTCTTTTGTGACTACAGTAACATTATCTCACCTAAGAAAACTAAAAACAATGCTGTCTATATTCAAGTTTTCCCAATGATCCCAAAAATGTCTTCTGTACTTTAAAAAACAATTTTCAGTTTTTTAACCAGAATCCCTGTAAGGTCGACTTATTACATTTGTTTAAGTCTTTTTAGCCTCCTTTAATCTGGAAAATCCTCCTTAACCTTTCTTTTTTAGAAAAGACAGCCTTAAATCTCAAGGAAATTGTATGCTAGTTTATTCATGTATTCATTCTTCCATACATTTACTCAACAAGCATTTTTTGGTTACCTACTATATATGTCAGTAAGTGAGCTTAAGGGTTACCCAGACTGCTTGTTGGAGAAGGAAATGGCAACCCGCTCCAGTATGTTTGCCTAGAGAATCCTGTAGAGAGAGGAGCCTGGTGGGCTGCTGTCTATGGGGTCGCATAGAGTTGGACATGACTGAAGCGTCTTAGCAGCAGCAGCAGCAGAAGACTGCTTGTTAATGTGGCTTTAAACACTATTGTTCATTATAATCAGCTGTAATGCTTGTTACATATATAGATTTGCACTGTTCAGTAGGGTAGCCACTGGCCACATGTGGCTATTTAAGTTAATCAAAATGAACTAGAATTAATAATTTAGTTCCTTAAGTCATACTACATTTCAAGTGTTCAGTCGCCCCATATGGTTAGTAGCTACTCTCTTGGACAACACAGAATAGAATATTTTCATCTTCATAGAAAGTTCTATTGGACAACACTGCTATGGATGCTGGCTATACCCCTGACCTGAGTGAAGTGAGTGTTCTGAAACTTACATTCTTAACACATTCCCTATCTGACTCGTGCACTGCAAGTATGAAAGAGAGATCATGCCGGAATGCTCTATAATAGCCTGAATCAGGAGGCAGGTGAGAAGCTGCTAGCCAGAACATTAATAGGTTCAGGGTCAAGTAGAAGATAAATCAGCCAGAGAGAAAGAGTGCTGAGCAGACTGGAAGGACTGTGAGGGTTGGACTGAGAGGAAGCAGAATAGGTTCAGATAAAGATCTTTTGGATGCAAGAGTCCAGTCACTTCTTTCATCATACAATTTAACATTTAGGTGGGCTCCCGCCATATTCCAGATCACTCCTGGGGGGGAAAATTCCCATTGTGGACTTGTGGGAATTTGTAAATATTAGGTTCAAGCATCTGGAATTTTGGTATTCAATAAGGAACCATTTGGGAATTCCCTGGTGGTTCAGTGGTTAAGACTTTGTACTTCCAATGTAGGGGGCATGGGTTTGATCCCTGGTTGGGGAACCAAGTTCCCACAGGCTGCATGGTATGGCAAATAATAATAATAGTAAATTAATTAAAAACAACCCATCTGGAAATTTTTTAAAAAGGAACCATTTATCATTGTAATTGGGGGTATTAATCAGTAGTAGTGGAAGGATGGAGTGGAAGGACCTGGAGTTACTAAAAAACATGCTGGAGGCTGAGACGGTGAGACAGATGACAGCAGAAGTAGACAAGATGAGACAGACAGGAGACATTACAATGTTGCAAGTAACATTTTTGTTTCTGACTTGAGATGGGGGAAGAAGAAAAGCCAAAGATGATGCCAAGAAAGTGAATCAAGAAGAGAGAATATTGGGTGTAATTCTGAGAAAAATGGAGGTCTAGGGAGGAAAGTGTTTGGGGAGGAAAGATGGGCCCAGCGAGTATAACACAAGTTGTTTTAGGTCATGACAGATCATGTGGGTGGGAAGATGAGGAAGTAGAATAGAGAGATGCAGACTTGTGAATTATCCACTTAAAAGTGAGAAGAAGCCATAAATGGAGAAGTGAGCACACAGAATATAAATCTGAGTCATGAAGTACAAGGCTAAGTGTGACCACTTTAGGGACAAGAAGAAGTAGAGCCAGAGAAGGAACACCAGAGAGCTAAGAGAGTCAGGACTACCTTGCCAGATCTAACGGAAAGGGTGAGCGATGGCCTCCAATGCTACCGTGAGGTTAAGAACAGTGATGACAGTGCCACTGCTCATGGCAGGTCCCCAAAGAGCTCTTGCCAGAGCATGTGCATTTCAGCTGGGAGGTGGGACTCTTGGCCATTCAAAATCTGGTGTTTGTTTGGAGTGGAGGAGAAAGCGATTAAGCACACACTTCAATGTTGGCAGGGCCTGTGCCCTGCCTGAGAGAATGAGACCATCTGTTTTCTATTCATCACAGACATTCATCAGACATCCAGAATGGACTGTGGATGACTCATGGTCCCCTGTTGGGTTTTAGGTGGGAAAGAAGATTGGAGTAAGGCTACATGAAAAAAGCTAATAGCACCAGGAATGTCCAACTTCATGTTTTCCAGCCAGCCAGATTCTGTGACAAAGTTGAGCCCATTTCCCAGCAAGGGCAAAGCAGCCCTGGCTAGTTATGTGCACTCCCTGCATGTAGCAAGAACTCTGCCCTTATCGGCAGACACGTGTCTGGCTAGACGGACAACAGTAATAAATTCTAAGCTCAATCATTTCTTCTCTTTAAACTTGAGGTAGAGTTGATTTACAATGTTGTGTTAGGTTCAGGTGTACAGCAAAGTGATTCTGTTATACATACATCTATATCTATTTTTTCATTCTTTTCCTTTATTGGTTATTACAAAATATTAAGTATAATTCCCTGTGCTATACAGTAGGTCTTTGTTGCCGATGACTTCTTATCCTTCAGCCTTATAAAAGGTTCTTAGGAACAGTGGTTTTGAGGCTAGGAACATTTGTAGTGGAGCCTTATTGCTCTCCATCTCTTTGAAGTTATTTGAAACTATCCCTTTAAGAGAAAACAAAAGCAATGCATGGAGGCAACAAAGATGCTGTAGCTGTTGTTGTTGCTTTATGTTGCTATTTAAAGAGCTTCTGCCAGACTCTGGAGCTACCCCAGATGAGTGACTTTCAGAAAGGACATGAGCTCAGCAGAAAGACACTGAGTGGAGACCACTCATTGGAGATGTTCGGCAGTGGAGGAAAGGAGAAAGATAAATATAGCCTAAGGGCATAAAATATCACATCTAAACCTTTTGTTGTATAGCTGGGGGAAAACATTTCAAAAACATTCCTACTATGATAAAAGACAATTCAAAATTGTTGATATTCTAACTACTGCTAGAGAAATAGGGTGACTAAACATGCTAGTTTGCCTTAGACACGCTCTGAGTGAGCACTGAAAGTCCCAGGTCCCAGGAAACCTTTTAGTCCCAGGTAAATTTTGACAACTGATTGATCACCTTAGGTTGGAGCCAACTGGTGTTGCTTCAAGTTAACCAAGTTAGATTTATCATAGGTTGTCTCATGATATGAGATGCCCTGTTCTCCCAATTTCTATTTCAGTGCAGTGACTGGATCCTTATCCTCCATGGGGTTTGTCTGACTTGCCCAGATTGAGTGATCTCTCTGCATTTTGGATGTCATACAGGAAGAGAAATAAGATATCAATGCTTAACATGTGTGTTTATATAACATCTCATTTAATCCTCACAATAATCTTGTGAGGTGGGCATTACCATCTCCAGTTTACTGATAAGGACAATGAGGCACAAAGAAGCTTTAAGTCTGTCTGACTTCAAACTCTGCTCTCCACTACATCACATTGTGTCCCTTGGAGA